TCGGATTAGGACATCACTGTCAGACAGTCCCAGCTGCACCCTGACAGACCTATTAGCGGGAGGCATGTCAATGTGAGGCTCTGCAGAGACGACAGGATGTAGAATGATGGGTGTGTCCTGCTGAATTCCTGAGCTTAGAGAATGAATTAAACATCAAAACATGACTTAAAAGTATAGCAGTACCGCACAGATTTTTGTCAGTATTTCTCAAAAGAAATCACTGACACACTGTTTTTTAACCTGTCTTTACACATTGTTTGTCGCTTGGGTCAAGTTTTAAAGCTGCAGTCCTCATTGAAATTCCTGTTGTGACACTTGGCTTGCAATTACAGTGTATCATTTTTAAAATGTCGTGGTGGAGCTCACACTGTGCGACTGAATTGTTAATGACACACGACTAAAGCTCAAGATTTATGTGCTCACACTGTATGAATTGAATGGTAATTGAGCATTCAGCATCAGTAAAGTTTTCTATGAAAAGTCCCACAAATGGGAGTTGAAGTTGGATCTCTGTGTTTCAGTTGACTCATAACGCACGGCTCAAATGCAAACACTGACAATAACCATACCGCGCTCTCACACTGCACACCAACAAACAAATGCTAACTAGTTCAGTTCAGTTCAGCAAGCTAAATCCCAAAAGAAGTTTCCCCTAGCAGCTGGAGGTCAGCACCTATTACCTGCCAATGTTACTCCTGTTCATATATTTGATCAAACAAGCATGCCTACTGTTGCCATGGTGCTTTCAATGCTGTCTGAAAAAAGTAATAGAAACAGCTCGTGGCTCTGCTCTCACTGTGCAAGTGTATCAAACATGCCAGAAATTCATCTGACCGGTCGGTAGAAGCAGATAGAGCCGTGATCAGCAGTTGTGCCTTCATGTATACTGCACAACTAACAATGCTCAATCATGAGACTCTATAACCCGGTCAAATCAGGCTGAAATCACAGCCGCTGTATCCGAATTGCCAAGTGCCTACTCAAGCTTTCAGTAGGTAGTAGGCAGTACCTACTATCCGTGCTGTATACTGTTTAGTACCTACAATTCAGTAGGCGCGCACAGTAGGCAGATATTTGTCCCTACTTCGTCTGATTCATTCAGTATGGAGCGTGACGTCATTTACGTTACCCGAACCGGCCTCATTCACCCGTTTTTTTTTTTTTTTTGTTTAGCTTTATTCAAGAAGAGTAATGTACATATACAGTCAGGTAAACATAAAACAATATCACAATGTAAATCAAGTAAAAGACAGATTAAATAACTAAATAACATACATAAAGAAAAGTACAAATGAAAGACAGTAATATACAGAATACAAAATAAACCAATAAAGACACATTTAAATAGTGAAATCATTATTTAAATAGAGGGGAAAAGGTTTTATAATAATGCAGATATTTGTTATATTTTCTGTTGTTAATTAAAAGTAGCGATTTCAGTCACGACTTTAACTAATCCACGCTCGTTTGTTTTGATTTGGAGGCGGACGTGACGTGATGATTTACGTTTAATTTGGCACAGCATTGTGGGTGGTAAAATTCAGTTCATTCAATTCATTTCCTGAAAGCACTCATCTGATCCACACTGCATGAAACCTGGAAGTTAATATCCATACTGAAATGTTCAGTATACTGAGGTGGACCCAAAAAATGCATACTGAATGACCACGAAAGTTCAGTATACTGAAACTCCATACTGAAAAGTACGTACTGCATACTGAACTGTGGCTATTCGGAAAGGGCCATGGTATGCCCAGCTTTCGTGAGTATTCAAGACATTATTCTGTTGCTACCTAAGTTAATACTGATTCAAAAGATGGTGTTCATGCTGTAAAAAAAAGAAATTTTCCTTAGTTGCTCGTGTTTAGCAGAGCTGCCTCAGAAGCCGTGTGGCTAGGTTTTTCTTCCCCTGTCTCTCTGCCTTGTTGGTGGCTGGCCAGTAGCCAAAGGCTGACTCAAGAGTTAAAAAATGCTCTCAGCCGTCTTTGATCATGGATGAAAAGACGTGTGCTTATTTGAACCGTTTCAGGGGCGCTTCTTATCTGTCCCTTCAGTTTAGTGTTTTATCTTTTACTACTCCTGCGATACTTAGTGAAATCCCCAACAGCATCTCCCAAGTGGGTATTAAACTTTTCCATGTTTCCAAAAAAAAAAAAGAAGTAAACTGAAGTCAATTAAAATGTTAGCTGAGAGTGCTGAAACAGAGCCTTTTATGAAATAAAAACTTGTGCAGCAAGTTAGCTGCAATTGCTGGGAAATGGTGAACTAGAAAAATGTTTTGTTATTGTTGAAAAAAAACAAATCATGATAATTGAACAGTAATAATTGTCTGTCATTCACTAAACCATGTCAAACATCAACAAGGTATGGATTAAAAAAAAGCCCATTTGTCTCATACATTTTGTACAAATCTGTAAAAAGTATATTCAAAAGTTGAATCCATTACATAAATGTACTTTATTTTAGTGAACTCCTCAGTGGATTAAAGCCTCTAGCTCTGTGAGCCAACAGTGTCAGTACAAACAGCAGCAGGGGACTGTGGTCGAGTGCAGAGGAAGCCTGAGTCCCCCTCAGCGCAGTGAGGGGATAAGAAGGGAGACGGCGTGGATGCTGCAATTTCCCCTCACTCCGTCTCTCTGCAGACAGCTGATGTTTATCTGCTCTGCCCATCTGGGTCTCATGACTAAACATCTGGTGGAGCTGCCACTGTGCAGGCAGTGTTTCACAGAGTGATGACAGCGAGGGGCCACTCCTGTCCACCCCTTTAAAAAGATCTCCGGAGGCAGGACTTCATCTCTGAGGTGTCAGGGCTTCTTCTTACATCCTGTCTCAATCGCCAAAGTGTTGTCAAGCATTCCAAAGAGTGCACCTTCATTATAAGCCCTTTTGGTTTTATTAGTTTATGATCAAAATATTGAAGAGTAAGCGCGATTTGATTTCAGTAGCTAATATCTTGCCTAAAACTCAACTTTGATCATGAATTCCTTTAAAATCTTCTGACAACATTATTACCAATGTCCCCAAAGAGAATGTTTTTTTTTTTTTTTTTTATTTTATTAAAAGCTATTTTGAGGTGCTGGAAATCTTTTCAAAGTAAAACATTACGTTCTCTTGAGCAAATAACATTGGCGCATTTTCCTTCTGCTAAGGTAATGTTGGTTAAAAAGCAGGTGTCGCTCCATCATCATTACCCATGCATCCCTTTGAGCACATGCATCAGTTTCTCTTTCTTCCGTCTCTTTTAAAGTCTTTTACAAACAGCCATGCCATCTTAGCCACAGTCCTCTTTTTTCATCTCTAGGCTTTCCCCCCAGAAGGAGATGCCTTGCAGTGACTGGTAGGCCTTCATCCATTATGGATGCTGTGTTTTAGGGGGGGGATCTCTGAAGGATGATATAAATATCTCCTTTCGTTTCCCAGCAGGGTGGGAGAAACAGCATAAGAGAGGCCACTGTGCAGTGTTAAAGAAGGGGCGTCTCTACTCTTTGATTTTATGTCTAAAGTGAAACAAGGCGAAAGACTGCAAAGCTGTCTTTAATTCATGAGTTTTGGCAACAGTCTTAACAACCACTTTACGATATGAAATGTACATTTCCCCTTAAATGTCTAAAATAAATTAGACCTGCATTGCCACATTTTGTTGAGTTTGGAACTTACAGTATCCCAATCGCGTTCAGCTTTTTCTAAAACGCATAAAATCCGTAATTTCATTCAAGGTTAGGCTATGCTTTATTTAGTTGCCTCTCTTCCTTGGAATCACAGGAAACACAAGATGATGCGTCAGAAAGTGTGGCAGGAAGTCAGCAAAGTGTTCCCTACTTCATTAGAATGACGTTACATAACACAAATACATCTTTAATGCACTACGTTGTCCTTAAATGTGCCTTTTGACTGAGTCAGAGAGATTATTTTCCACAGTTGTGGATGTTCATACATGAAGACTACAATTCCCACGATCCTACTCTACTTAGCAACATAAAAAAACTCTGTCTTTGGATTTAGTGTTTTTGCTTGAAGAGCCCCAGCAGCATAGCATACAGTCTGTTTAAATTACATGGTTTAGTGATCATGTCATGGGATGAGCGGAAAAATGTTTTACATTGTTTTATGAAAAAAATCCTGAAAAGAAAATCACTTCTCCACAGCAGTCCAGCACAACTTTCTGACCCTGGACGAGGTTTATGTCCTTTGTGTCCTCTGTTACAGGCCACAGCGGGAGGTTGTATGTTAGCACACAAAAGCAGCGTGAAGTAAAAGCCTGACAGATATGTGTGTCTGTGATGGTCTATTGAAAGAGAGAGAGACGGACAGAGGGGGCGAGCTGCAGGCCTCTCCTACTGTGTGCAGATTCACCGTTCTATTAGCCTGCCACTGTCAAAGGAAGCCAGCCATCTTTTGAGAACACACACACACACACACACACACACACACACACACACACACACACACACACACACACGCCCGCGCACACACACACTCACACACACACACACACTCACGTGCACAGAGAATCACTGTTGATTTAAAGGCTAGTACAGACAACGGGGGCGAAGATATGCAAGGAGCAGATGTGTTCAACGCTCGAAGAATATTGTTTCTTTGATTATCAGAATCTGGTGTTACTAATTGAGCTCTATATTTCGTAACCTTTTTCTGAAACACTCTTGAGAGGCTCGACATGAGCAGAGCAGTGTGGGGTTATGAAGGCTATGGAGCGGTGCCAAGCAGCAGCGAATCAGTTATGCTCAAGGCACATAGAAATAATTCATTGCAGTGCTCTGAAAGCAGTTGAGGCATGGGTGCAACACAGAACAGATTTCCTGTGCAGAGAGCTAGGTCCAGGTATTATTCTGCGTTGGAGACTTACCCAAGGCAAATCCCCCCCCCCGCATAAACACAACATTCAATTCAATTTTATCTTTCGTTTCCCTGCTTTGTATAAAAGAAGTTTCGCTTTTGTCGTGTCCCTGGAATCTTACAGTTCTCCTATCTTTCTGCAGGTTTCTGCTGTGGAACCCACTTGGACCAGGAGAAGAGCTAAAAACACCAGAGTGATTGTGGAGAAGCCCGAGAAGAGAGGCGAACACCTTTGATCTTACCTTACTAGAACACTTTCTGTAGCCTGCCATCTCAGCTTGACCTGCACTCTTAAGTTGCTGGATGAAGCCACCACTCACAGCTGCCTGTAAAGAGTGAAAAACAGAGAGTATATATAAAGAGACATTATAGAGACATAACAAGAGATAAATAGAGCAAGGCTGCATTATTATTATTATTATTGCAGAGTTTGTGTCAGAGCTTGAAACCATGAGAAGAGACTTCTGAAGACGCCTGCGCTCTGAAAACTCACCTCCAGGACATTTGTATGTGTGTGTGCGCGTGTATGTGTGCACATCTCTTTCACTTTCAAAGGACTTGAATTGGTACTTGGATGCAGATTTAGCCCTGCATTATGACACTACGAGGAGGCTTTGAGGGAGCCTGGATTGGCTGCCACAGAGGTGTCTGCTGCTGGCTGTTGCCGCTGGCTTGTTATTTCTTGATTGCATCTGCAGCCAAACCCAAAATGCCAGGCCACACGCACCTCAATTCAATACGCATCGATGGGGACATATCTTTGGGTGGGCTGTTCCCGGTACATGCGAGAGGCAACGATGGTAAAGCCTGCGGGGAGCTGAAGAAGGAGAAAGGGATCCATAGGCTGGAGGCCATGTTATTTGCCCTGGATCGTATCAATAATGACAATGAGCTGCTGCCCAATATCACGCTGGGGGCGCGGATCCTTGACACCTGCTCCAGGGACACCCATGCTCTGGAGCAGTCTCTGACATTTGTTCAGGCGCTGATTGAGAAAGACTCTACTGATGTCAAGTGTCTCAGCGGAGGTCCGCCCATCATCACTAAGCCGGAGAGAGTGGTGGGAGTGATCGGCGCATCTGCCAGCTCCGTGTCAATCATGGTTGCCAACATCCTGCGCCTCTTCAAGGTCAGATACTCCCACAGCACCTAACTTCATACTTTCCTTTTTATTCCGCACCTTTCTGAACAGGGTTGCAGGGCATGGGTTTTCCCAACAGCATGGGGATCAGACTTTTAGGTTGAAAATAACAAACTGAATTCCAATTGTCCACCGCATTCTAAGCAAATTTTACAGACACACAAATGCCTACACTCAGCTTTTCACTGAGCATGACCAGCTCTGAGCTCTAGCAGACTTTCCTTTGACCTTTTTATTTTTCACAGTAGCTTTAACCACATTAGTTTTAAACATTCTTCTTCCGCCTGTCCGGAGTACGAGGCACTGATCATTACACCGTAATTCTCTTAAATGACACTAATTTGAGTAAAGAGTCTTTAGTGTTGCCTTCTTCTAATTAATTCGGGGAAGCCATGCATGTTACCATGAGCACATTGTACTGCTATTGAATATAGTGCATTAAATGAGCTTCTGCTCTGTGTCAGCTCACTACATGCAAATATAGATTGCAAATGAGAGCAAAACGTAAACACTACATGACAAGAATACCTGCTCGGTGCTGTCAAGCCAAACTAGAGGCCACAACCAAACTAATGAGCATAAAGAGCCAGTTAGACTCAGAATTTGTTGGTGATTGTAATCTCGCCCTATGGAGAAACAAGATGACAGTGAATGGCTCAACTAACCACACCTTTTGGCGATAATGAATTGGTAAAAGCATGGTTGTTGGTTATGTACCAATATCGAAAATACAATATGTTTTAAAGGTTCTATTTATCATTTAAGTGGCCCTATGGAAGATGAGGTCTGCTCCATTCTTGGGCCACACAGCAGAGGACAAAGGGGTTGAATGGTACAATACAACATGTCACAAACCTGACTGACTGATCACAAGTCAGCCGGAATAAACGCTGCACTCCGCCATCTTTGCTGCTATTTTAGAAAGTGGTGGTTGAGCTGTCTGACATAAAGCCATCAAAAACCCGAGACCTCAGTATTCACAAGTATTTTCTAGTGCCACTCAGAAACCTGTCACACAAGTTTATCTATAGGAGAATTCATGTTTTTATAACCCATACCATTGAGGAATAAGAGGGTTGGTGATATATTTTGCGTAAGAGCTTAACTGATGCTTAACACTGTAGAAGTGTTAAAAAAAGAAGGCACACAAAAGTAGGAGCCTAGCAATATGAAAAGGAAGAAGATAAGGGTTTATCTTAGAATTAGAAGGGGATTGCCAAAAAAACAACAACAACCATGCAATTAGAAATGTAGAGTTGTGGAAAGTTTCAATATCAACTGGCTCATCTGATTAATTTTTCTGCAGTGAAAAAACAGCCACACAGCTCAGAATGTTTAGACACCATTCAGCCTTCTCAACATAGAGCACATGGAGGGAGGGAGACATAAATACATCACCAAAATGTGAGAAATAAAATACTCGTATCAATGCCACATTTTCCTCCCTGCAAATGACAGGGCCAACACTTTATACACAGGTCTCAGGACTCTGTTGAAGATGTATAGCAAGAGTCCGAAATACCTTGAACAACTGCCACCCCTTGTGCTTTGGCGCAACTCTCAAACCTCAAATGTTTTAGCAAACAAGGTCACCAGACTCAGTGTGGAGGGCACATGAATCACCAGAGGAAGGCCTGTCCACTCACACTCGGCTTGAGAGACGTATTAACACAGCTAACTGGTAAGTCTTTGTTTGGGCAGGATTTTACCAATGTGTTGCTGTGTGTTCCAAGTAGCAAGCCAAATCCAGCCGAGTTAACAAATTGTTTTTCTTTCCTTTTCTTGTTCTCTGAAGAGCACTGAGCTGCTCAATCCCAGACTAGATGTTCCAGGGTAAAGTTTGTTTTGTATGACTGTTGTAATACTCAGATACTGAGCAAGTAGGAACCATTTTTGAGTGGTTAGGTGGGCTGGCTTCGGCTCAGTGGTACTGTAGGTTGTATCTCAACCAAGATTTAGATTAAGATTAAGATTTACTTTATTGATCCCCGCAAGGGGAAATTTCAGTTTTTACACTCTGTTAACCATGCAACACACACATAGGCTGAAATATACACACATGTACAAACAGGATCCTATGGACAAGCACCAGCTCCTGAGCTGGTGGTGGGGAGGGGGTTTGGTGCCTTGCTCAAGGGCACCTTGGCAGTGCTCAGGAAGTGATCTGGCACCTCTCCAGCTACTAGACCATCTTCCATATTTGGTCCACACCGGGACTTGAACCGGCGACCCTCAAGTTCCCAACCCAAGTCCCCACAGAATGAGCTACTGTCAGGTCAAGGGTTCAAAAGCAGGCCAATGTCCAATGTTTCCTTGGGAAAGACACTTAACCGCTGCTTCATCAGCGGCATGGGAATGTGAATGTATGGATTCATTGATACTGATGGGCAATATAAATGGCTGCCTTTGCCATCAGTGTATGTATGGGTAGGTGTGACCAGCGGTGTAACGGTGCTTTGAGTAGTCAGAAGACTAGAAAAGCGCAAAGTCCATTGACCATTGTTTGATGGACAATGGCATTGAAGGTATCTGCCCAGTGGGATTGAACATCCTCCTTCACAGGGCTTTAAACACCATGGGCATAACCCACTGTGGCACAGAGGAATCATCATATTATGATGGATGGTGATAAAAAGAAGTCCAAAAAAGCGTCATTTCATTCATACAAAAACATGTCCTTCAAGTTATACAAGCACTAAAAGGTATCGGAAGCAGCCATTAACTGAGCATGTTCTGCATATCAGAGTAGAATAACCATGAGCTGCTCCTGCCTGAATCTCTGCATCAGCAGCTGGATCAGAGGGAAGAAGGGAAAAAAACTCAGAAGAAGCTTTTAAGCAATATAGTATGTGCAAATGCATCCACTTTTATTGGTGGGTTGTCATTGGCTAACAAGATTCAGTGTACTTAAACAGTTGACAGCATTTCCGCTCAGATAAGTATCAAGAAGTCAGAAGGTGGACGAGGCATGTTGGGAACATTTCAGGCTTTTTTAAGAACACAAATGTCGCATGGCCGTACACACAGAATAAAATATGAATAAACAAGCAGGTTGGATATATTAGTTCTACTTGTATACGTAACCTGACGTCATTTTACAAACACTGCATTAAGGTGTATGTATTTTAAATATGTAAAACTTTCTGAAGCCTTAACATATAATGCAATCATTTTTCAGAGACTGTCTGAAGAAAAGACAACTGAACATTTCACCAAAAAACCTGAAACATTGTGTGTAACAGACAAAATAGCTTGGAGTGGCTTCCCACTGTGGTTTTTCTCTCTTTCACAAAATGTTGTCTTTGTTCCTTGTTGGTTTCCATAATATTGCACTAAAATGGAAAGTAGAGGTGGTTGCAAATAAAAAGCAAAGCCAGTCACAACACTTCAGGCAACCTTTTTAAAAAACATCCTTCTTTTGATACCTGGAGTAAAATATCGTAGAAAACTGGGAAGCTTTAAAAGCCTTAAATCAACTTATCTTCTGTATTACACTCGACAGGCGGAACATTTCAGTGAATCACACTGATAGGAACAAGAAGCCATGGAAATGGGATTTGTATGGGTCCTCAAAGTGGCCCCAGGTGCAAAGAATAATCCTGGGTTTAATCATTACAATATTAATAGTACACTGGGTCACCAGATGATATTGCATATGCATGAAGTAAACCCTGTAGTGGTGTTTCAATTCATTGCAGTGAACCAGATGCATATTACCTCTTGTTGTTTTAGTTAATTCATGGCCTGGTTTCTGTAATTTTCTCTTCAGGATTTAATCGTCATGCAAGCATTTTAAATAATGTAAACAAGTTGATAAAATGTTCCCACTGTGCTTAATTTAGCTCATCGTCTCTACCCTACACATGGTTCAACACACACAGTCTGCTTTACACGGTAGCATAGTGTTCTAATTTATATGAAAACATTGTTTGCTTGCAATGACTTACCACGATATGTTGTTAGGTAAGGTTATTTTAGAAGGATGAGGCTCAAGAAGAAGAATACAATTGTGGATAACATTTGATTTTTCTCATGGTGACAGCAAGTGAAGGCATTGCAGTGCTAAAATAAACATGAACTGACATATTGAGTGCCTCTTAAAATATTAATATGCAACCTGAGGGTTTGTTACAGTGGATCGGACAATGAAGTTGGCCATGATTTCATTTATCTAAACCTACTCTGAGTAGGGTCAGAAAAAAACAAACAGGTAATTTATTTTTCTGTTTTACTAAGTCATCGTGGGAAAAGCAGGTAATAGTCAAACTGGGAAGACTCCAAAGAAAGCAACTCATGGAAAACAGATAACAGACAACCGGTGTTAAAAAATAAAGCCAATGCAGCAGTGCAAAAACATTCAGTTCCTCGAGTGTCCACTTGAGGCTGACTGCAAATGTTAAGGCCAAGAGTTATTCATAATAAGGGACGTGGCTGATCTGACTGACGTTCGGGCCCATGTCCCACCTCAGCTTTAACTCTTTAACACATTTAACGCATTTTACTAGCTTACCCAAAAGCTAGTCTTAGACAGCATTTCCAATATGGTGACCGCCACCGATGGCCCTCAATAGTCTGCTTCAGAAACCAATGGTTGACTACGTCCATGTTTATATACAGTCTATGATAACACATGAAAAATAATATTCAACAAAGAGAGAATGTCACAAGTTGAATTTTTCCTTTAACAACCTTTCACTCTAAGCTTTCAATGTGGCCTTTTTGAAAAAAATAAATATTTGAATTTCAGAGAAAAAAGTCAGGAAGAATCACCAGAAAACACTCTGCCGCAATTAAACCTCTGAGGATATTGAGGAATAGCTAAAGCTAAGGTTGTACTCTCACCCGGCATGGCTTGGCAGGTTCTGGTTCTTTTTGTCCATCATTAAAGTCACATAAAACCACAAGTTGGACTCCCTTGAGTGGCAGCAAGGGTTTCACGGCTCATCACTTCACTCTAATGACTTCAAAAGACTCGGCTCCTTTCAACC